TTGCTCTGTAGCCCAGGCTGGAGTGCAGTGACACAATCTTGGCTCACTACAACCCCCACCTCCTGGTTTCAAGCAGTTCTTCTGCCTCAGCGTCTCAAGTGGCTGGGATTACAGGTGCGCACCACCACGCCTGGCTAATCTTTTGTTGTTGTATTTTTTTTTGAGATGGAGTCTTACTCTTTCGCCAGGCTGGAGTGCAGTGGCATGATCTCAGCTCACTGCAACCTCCGTCTCCCGGATTCAAGTGATTCCCCTGCCTCAGCCTCCTGAGTAGCTGGGACTACAGGTGTGCACCACCACACCCGGATAATTTTTTGTATTTTTTAGTAGAGATGGGGTTTCACTACGGCCAGGATAGTCTCGACATCCTGACCTTATGATCTGTCCGTCTCGGCCTGCCAAAGTGCTAGAATTACAGATGTGAGCCACTGCGCCCGGCCTTGCTGTATTTTTAATAGAGACAAGGTTTCACCATATTGGCCAGGCTAGTCTTGAACTCCTGACCTCAGGTCAGGTGATCCACCCGCCTTGGCCTCCCAAAGTTCCAGGATTACAGGCGTAAGCCACCACACCCAGCCTCCTAGAACCTTGATGTCACTAGAATTCAAATGTTTGCCAACCCTCCTTCTTTATATCTTACTGAAAATTTCCAAATATTTGACATAAAAACCATCGAGACCTATAGCTTATTTTTATTTAAACCAAGGCTAATTAATTTGGGTTTATAATTTTATTCCATGGGTGCCAACAGAATCGCTTAATTGATCTCATCCTTGGCTTGAGCGTAAGAAGAATCTTTGCCAAGCTTAACATCATAGGCGTTTTCACACATGGGAGTTTCTGCAGAACTCTGTTCCGCAGAGATGCTACATGGGCCACCACAGGAGAGAGGACAGCAACAAGGAGGGGACCAGGAGAAGGCTCTGAGTCGGGATCCTATTCCACCAGGCAGCCCTGCTCTACTCTAGTTGGCTTGTTTAGGGTCTTGGAAAGATGGTGTGATAAAGCGTATCTGCTGCTAAGAGAGTTTGGAAACCACCATGCTGCTGAATTCACGGTAGGGCTGTCGATGGCTGAGGACCTCACCACAGCACACAGGGTCCCTGCTATGTGGCCCACTCTAGGAGCTGTTTTTCCCAGGCCTCATTAACATAAAAAAGCCGTGCCTTTCCCAAGCATTTTGTTTGCTTTGGCAGTTAGGCAGCTCAGAGCCAAACAGATAGCCCACTGATGTGTAACTATTAGTTCAGTGCAAAAGTAATCACTGTTTTTGCCATTAAAAGTAATTACCACAGGACAGAAAGTAATTTTGCACTAACCTAAATATGTAGAACCTTATGCTGCCATTTCTTTGTCCCTGCATTATCCTCTCTTTTCTTTCTTTCCTTTTATTTTTTTGAGACAGAATCTTGCTCTGTCTCCCAGGCTGGAGGGCAATGCCATGATCTCAGCTCCCTGCAACCTCTGCCTCCAGGTTCAAGTGATTCTCCTGCCTCAGCCTCCCAAGTAGCTGGGATTACAGGCGCCCGCCACCTAGCTTGGCTAATTTTTTGTATTTTTAGGAAAAATGGGGTTTCACCATGTTGGCCAGGCTGGTCTTGAACTCCTGACTTCAGGTGATCCACCCCCCTGGCCCCTTCATTATCTTTGGCTTCATTTGAATCTCTTGCTTTCATTTTCTGTTTCTCATCACTCTGATTTCATTACCTACTTTAAGGTCTGCTTCTCTCACTCTTTAATCCTGTGAGTTGAAGGGAGGAAGGGACACAGACAGAGGGACAGAAGCTCTGCTTATCTAAACTTGCATCCCTATTTCTATGCTCCCACTATGAGTCAGCCTAGAATCTTCTAGTTCCAGTCTTTTAAGTCCATCTAAATCCAGACTCTGATTGGATACTAGTGACTATCTGTACCAGATGTGGTTTCATTGCTTGAGTGAATTAACACATCCCCTGGTATAATTAACCATGCCATCATCCGTATGGTCATTTAAGTTCTCACTCTCACCCTCTTTTCCAGCTCAAAGCAGTAGTCTCTCTACATTTATGTGTTTATACATAGAAAGCTATGTCAAAGTTCCACCATCTCCTCTGATGGTGAGAAATGGCGGATGTACAGCTGACATGTCTCAAGGAGTTCCTTAAAAATAATTAATCTATGGCAGGGCACAGTGGCTCAGGCCTCTAATCCCAACACTTTGGGAGGCCGAGGTGGGGAGATCACCTGAGGTAAGGAGTTCAAGACCAGCCTGTCCAACATGGTGAAACCCCACATCTACTAGAAATACAAAAATTAGATGGGCGTGGTGGTGCATGCCTGTAATCCCAGCTACTCAAGAGACTGAGGCAGGAGAATTGCTTGAACCCAGGAGGTGGAGGATGCAGTGAGCCAAGATCACACCATTGCACTCCAGCCTGGGTGACAAAAGCAAAACTCCATCTCAAAAAATAATAATAAAAGTGAATATATGCTTTAATGTATAATTATAATTGGAGTGCATGCTTGCTGAAAAAAAACTGAATATGGCTGTGTACAAGGTAAAAAAAATACCACTTCCTGTAACCACTTCATGGGTAAACACGTAGCCTTCAAACATTTTATTAATGGTGTTCTTTTTTATTTTATTTATTTATTTTGGCAACAGTCTCGCTCTATTTCCCAGGCTGAAGTACAGAGGTGCAATCTCAGCTCACTACAACCTCCACCTCCCACGTTCAAGAGATTCTCCTGCCTCAGCCTCCCGAGTAGCTGGGATTACAGACAGGTGCCACCATGCCCAGCTAATTTTTGTATTTTTAGTAAAGATGGAGTTTCGCCACGTTGGCCAGGCTAGTCTCAAACTCCTGACCTCAGGTGATCCGCCCACCTCAGCCTCCCAAAGTGCTGGGATTACAGGCGTGAGCCACCACACCCAGCCAATAGTGTTGTTTTTAAGTTGGCAACTTTAAACAAGGGGCTCCCCCACAAGGAGGAACAGTGCTCACCTCTTCTCCATACTGAATCCATGTGCCAGATTCATTCTTCCAATACCAGATCCATTTGGTGGTGAAAACAGGGTTGCCTGACTTCGTGACAGAAGAAGGAGTGGAAAGGCGTTGGATGGGATGGGAACCACAAGTCATTTTCCGAAAATTGATTGTATAACTTCCCACAGAAAAGCTGAGAGAGAAAAGTATTAAGTTAACATAATGTTTCACTGACCTCTGTTTTCTACAATCTCGGCTTCCCTAATGAGACTGCAGAATTAAACTTTTAGAGCTAAAATAGATCTTCAGGTTGTCTTTCTGTAGCTCCAGGTCCTACACATAAAAGAAAAATGGAAACGCAGAGAGGAAAGTGACTTGTCTGCACCACATATTTAAGGGCATCACAAAGTATATTCTTGCCTCAGAAAATATCCCGAAATAAACCCGTGCCCACAAAACTCCTGATTGGCTCGATGTTAGAAAGTTAAGTTAGAAACTCACATTTTATTAATTTCTTAAATTATTTATATTATTTAAATCGTTATCAAAATGTGGAGACCCTTGCAGAAAATTGGCAAGGTTAAAGTTATTTTCATCATAACTTTAAACATTATTTCCTTCTTTCACTTTCATTCCCTCATGAATACATGAAGAAATTTTCCAGAGGCTATGCAATGTATGATTTCACAGCAGATTGAATACAGAAGCAGATATGAGAATCTAGTTATCTTCTATTATGCCAGACATTAAAGAAATTTGCAAAAATATAAAACCCTTCTCAATAAATTGTTTTGGAAAACAGTTATTTTATAATTATCCATATAAATATTACATATACAAATATAAACAAATACAGTTATATACCTGGGTATGTATATTAAATGAATATACATGAATATGTATATAGCATAAATATATAAAATATGTTCATTATGTTAATATACAGCAAGCTTATTATTCTTATTATTTCTTTTTTTTGAGCCAGAGTTTTGCTCCTGTTGCCCACGCTAGTGCAATCTTGGCTCACCGCGACCTCCTCCTCCGGTGTTCAAGTGATTCCCCTGCCTCAGCCTCCTGAATAGCTAGAATTACAGGCATGCAACACCACAGCTGGCTAATTTTGTATTTTTAGTAGAGACGGGGTTTCTCCATGTTAGTCAAGCTGATCTCAAACTCCCGACCTGCAGTGATCTGCCTGCCTCGACCGCCCAAAGTTCTGGGATTGCAGCTGTGAGCCACTGTGCTCAGCCTCTTATTTTTAAGTGAATCAAATATATAATTGTTCTCAGTTTTAATTTTTAATATGGTAAATATTGATAGCTATATTCCACATAACCAGAAATTCTTTGGGATCCTCAACACATTTTTTTTTTTTTTTTGAGACTGAGACCCAGGCCAGAGTGCAGTGGCATGATCTCAACTCACTGCAACCTCCACCTCCCAGGTTCAAGCAATTCCCTGCCTCAGTCTCCTGAGCTGAGATTATAGGCGCACGCCACCATGCCCAGCTAATTTTTGTATTTTTAGTAGAGACGGGGTTTCATCATCTTGGCCAGGCTGGTCTTGAACCCCTGACCTCGTGATCCACCTGCCTTGGCCTCCCAAAGTACTGGGATTACAAGCGTG